ACAACAGCACATCTTCTTTCCGCCATGTTGTAGGCTTCTCGGGCTTCATCTCTTTGGCGTTGTTCTTCTTCAATAGTAGTTTGGAGCTCCTGTTGATGGAAAGAATGGTGTAACGAATTATGATAAGTTTGCAAGAATGGACTGCTTTTTGTGGTCCTGGGAAGCCACGAATTGAGTGGTTCTAAAAAAAAATTTTGTCAACGAATTCTTATTGTTATCTACTTCTTCTCCCCCGCACTTCAAATGTTAAAGTACTTACAGTGACTTGTTGTTGGTATCTTTTAATGGTTTTCTCAGTGTCAGCTCGACTTCTATTGGCACCATCTAAAGCAATTTCCAAATCATTGATGTCATGTTCCAATTTCTTTCTGATTCTCATTGCTTCAGTCTTGTTCTTGATTTCAACTTCAAGTGAAGCTTGCATTGATTCAACAGCTCGTTGATGATTTCGTCTGGAAAAGAATATTCCGCTCATTATCTATTTGTATCTTTATTGAGTAGTGTATAAGAAAGTATAACAGAACTTTCGGTCATTTGCCGATTGTATAGATTACATATTCTTTCAATTTGTTCTTTCAAATTCAGAGATTACTGCCAATCATCAGAATTTGACTAACTTTCCCAGAATGTGCTGTTGTCAAGTACTTTGATAGCTTACCTTGTCATTTCAAATTCTTCCTCTTTTTCATTGACTCTTCTATCAATTTCTTGACGAACTTGGGACATTTCAAGTTGAGCTCTAACGACCTTAGCTTCTTCTTGCTCAAGTGCTGCTTCGGCTTCTTCTAAAGCAGATTGAAGTTCTTCCTTTTCCATTTCGGCACGTCGTTTAGCCTTTTCAACATCATGGACACTGCGACCACCTTCACTGAGCTGATCTGTTAGTTCCTTGATTTCATCTGAAATAAATCAGTTATTTATATAGATTTTGAGATGTAACAAAAGTCAGATATATTTAAGCATAGAAATAAAAATGCTTTTAATGTGTTAGTGTTACTAGAGCGAGCAATCATTTGTGTGAACGGCCTACCATGAAGGTTACGCTTCTCACTCTGCAACATTCATTTCTACGGAAACTGCCGAGGATTGCCGAATGACATTTGTGTACAACAATATCTAATAGGGGTCAGTCTGGGTTTAATGGTCAACAGCAGCAAATTGACTTACCAGCTAAGTTCTTGTTTTCGCGTCTCAAACTGTCCATACGATCAATAGTTTCAACTTCCTTGGCCTTGACTCGGAAGAGCTCAGCAGATAAAGCTCGTGTTTCCTTCTGGGCGTTGTCTATTTCGTACTGCATATCATGGATCTTTGCTTGCCATTCGGAGGTCGTTTTATCGAAAGACCTCTGCTTCTTTTCCAGTATCGTAGTTGCAGTATTAGACTGAAAGAGAAGAGATAGTGATGGTAGTTGAGTATGGATGCTGTAAGACTGGATATTCTCTTACAGATGTAATTTAGGGGGTTATAAATCTGGATGAATATTTACGGGGAAACAAACAGGGAAAACACTTACTCGTTCAACTTCAACCATAAGATCTTCATGTTCAGCCTGCATTCTGAATTTAACTTTCTCCAGGTTATTGATCTTGATGTTGGCAGCTTCCAAGTTTTGTTCAGCATCAGCAAGTTTGGCTTGAAGTTTTCGTCTGGAATAAGGACAAATTCGGTGTTGATCAATGATGGGAATGTTGAATTGCTGTAAAGAACTATTTCTCAAATGTTTCTATGGTATACTTAGGATATTATTTTGTTTTTAAAGATAGTGGACTAACCTGGCTTCTTCGAGTTCTTCAGATCTAGCAATGCCTTCACTTTCGTATTTGGATCTCCATTGTAGAGCTTCTGAATGAGCCTTGGACAACTGTCTCTGAAGGTTGCTCTTGTTGTCTTGTTCTTCTTCCATCTGATCCCGAAGAGAATCGCAATCTGACATCAGAGTACGGGCTTCACTTTGGAGTTTCTGTCGAAGTCGAATCTCTTCCTCAAGACTTCTTTTTGACTCTTCATAATTTGTTTGGAAAGTTGCCTTTTCCTTGGTGAGTACACTGACTTTGTGCTCGGTTTCTTCAAGAATTCTGGTAATCTCACTGACTTCAGTTTGGAGTTTGCTCTTGCTGGCTTGAACTTCATTAACAGTTCGGACTCCCTCTTCAATCTTGGCGTTTAATTCTGAGATCTGGTTTTCAACCTGTTTGGTCATCTTTTCGGACATACCCTGATAAAAATAACACAGATATTTGAATATGGTTATGAATAGTAACGATCCCATGGTTTAAGTAACAATACATTTCACAAATAAGCTAAGACACGACCTTAGGTACATGGTTAACCATTTTAACAGAAGCCTAGTACTAACCTTGTTCTTACTGGCGTGTTGTAGTTGGGCAGAAATATCTTCAACCTCAGATCTGGCATGGTTTCGTTCCTTTTCCAATCTGAAATATGAATTAGACATATTTAGAACAAAGGAAAATCTATTTTAAACATTCACTGATTGCATCAATGTAATTTGCTTGCACACATGCATTACTTACTAAAAGCTTTGAATTAATCAATCAAAGTCCTGACTTCTGACTGTCAATTCACGATATTTGTAATTAATACGTTATATTAATTTACTTACTTGCTCTTGATCTTGGTGAGTTGGTCAATCTGATCAGTGAGTTCATTGTTAGCTTCTTGAGCCTTCTTTCTCATACTGGCGATCTGGGCATCGTGCTGGAGTTGATTTTGTTCAATTTCTCGTCGGAGCTTCAATAATTCTTGTTCACGTTTCTTGTTGATTTCGACCTGAGCGTGAGTTGCACCACCAGCTTCTTCTAATTTATCACTGATATCTTCAATTTCTAGATTCAACTCATTACGTTGTTTCTCAGCCTAAAAAATGACAATATGCATACTATAATCAGAGGGTAACTTGTATATATAAGCGGTAAACAGTGATCGGGACTTATACAAACAGCAGTAACAGATGTCAATGCTTCAAATTTGCATGGTGGAGTAAACATCGTCAATTATGCCATAAAGACAAGCTTCCCTCATTGTACGAGCTAGCGTACCCTTCATTACCACTACCGGGATATATATTATGTATCTCACCTTAGCTCGGGCTTGTTTCTCGTGTTCCAATTCTTCTTCAAGTTCTTCAATGGTAGCCTATAATGATACATACAGTTGCTAGTAATTTTTTTCTAAAGCACAAATGAAAATATGTTCTAGATAGAGAAATACTTGTACTCTTAGAAAATTTGTATTTGAAACTGACAAAGACGTACTTGGAGCTCCTTGATCTTCTTCTGGAGACCAGCAACCATGTTCTGTTCATCTTCAACACGAGAGTTGAGAGAGTTTATATCAGCATCCTTCTTTCTCATGGTTTCTTCCAGTTCTCTTTTGATTCTCTCTAAATCTTCAACTGATTCTTGACTCATCTTCAAATCTTGTTCTAACTTCCTCTTAACTTTCTCAACATCACCTCTAATCTTCTTTTCTCTTTCCAAATTATTCTCAAACTAAAATTAGAGTGTTTAGTATAATTCTTAATGCTGGCAAATACAAAACCCTGATGTTAAAACCTTATCAATAAGTTGTCAAATTGCAATGTTTAAGTTAATGGCGCTTGGGTAAAAGTCATCAAGAGTAGTACTTTTTGTAGCTGTATTGTGTACTAGCAAGCCACTGATATAAACTCAAGATTTATAGGAAAGCGATGTTGTTACAATAATTTGAATTTGAATACCACTGAATGAAAGGATAAAAAGCAAAAACACCAACCTCGTCAAGAGTCTGCTCCAATTTGGTTTTGATCTTGTTAAGATGATTGACTTTATCTTCTTCAGCTTGAAGACTGTCAGATAATTTCTTGTTGGCTTCATCCATATTCTTCTTGTCTTTATTCAACTTTTGTATCTGTTCATCTTGTTGAGTAATTTCATCACTCAATGTTTTGATTTGATGTTCCTTGGCAGTCTTTTCTTGCTCGGATTTAACCAAGTTGGTTTCCATATCTTCAAGATCCTTCTTGAGGTCATCGTTAGCCTTTTCGAGTTGCTTCTTCTTCTCATTCATTTCGTTGACGGCATCTTCTTCATCCAAACATCGCTCTTCCATTTCTTTAATTTGAGCTTCAAAATCAATCTTCTGTTTGATAAGATTCTCAACCTTCTCCTCGAATTCAACCACTTTATCTTGTTCAGTTTGGAGTTCTAAGAACATATCATTCTTCTGTTGAAGTAAAACTGTATTCTGTTCTTCAAGTTCCTTCTTCATCTTTTCACTTTTCTCCAGTTCAACCTTGGTCTTTTCAAACTGTTCTTCTTTCTGTTTCATTTCATCTTCAGCACGAGCAACGTTCAAGAGTGGTTTTACTTTGACGTACATCTTCCACCAGAGCCAGTTTCTCATGGCCAACCATTTACGGATGTTCTTTTGGATGACAGATAGACCAATTCTAAATAATCAAAAAGATAAGTTAGTTGAGCAATGAAATTTTGTAGACTTAAGTAGTTTCATATACGTGTACTAAGGATATAATCAGCTGATTTCTAATTTTCTTCAAAAATTATATTACATTTACCTTCGGTCACATAATTTCTTGTAATTTCGTCGTACCAAGTAACCTCTGATGTGAGCTTGGAACATTGAAATGATGGAGCTTAATCTTTCATCACGAAGATCTTCAAGATAACCCAAAACACCAGCTTTGAAGAAGACTTTGGTTGAACCCAATTTGTATTCATTAGGATCCATCTCTAAAGCAACAAGAATTTTATCGGCAACAGTTTTTCCATCAACAAAACCATCAGGTATAGCATTAGGAGCTAGTATAGAGTATCTGAAATAGGTATAATAAATGTAAAAATAATGAAAAATTAATAAAACATATGAGGGCAATACCAGTATCCATTGAATTTATTTGCTTAGATTTGATTCATTTCCGACAGTATCTTAGCAGCCAATCATACCAACTGGTGTATTTTAAAGTTTAAAACTGACCTTTGCTTGAATTCAGAGTGAACCAATCTATTGGGGAATCCTTTTCGGCAAATACGGATACCTTCCAATACACCATTACATTGAAGCTGGTGAAGAACCAAATGAGCATCGACCTCACCAGGTTGTTTAAATTCATTAGGAATAATACAACGTACAAAATGAGGATGAGTACTGTACAAGTTCTTCATCAATTTGTTCAAAGATTCCTGAAAGAGAAACAAAATAGACATGAGACTCAGTGCCTTTTGGTAATAAGATTATACTATCATTTCCCTGTGAGAAGAAAGTAGTAATTAGGGAATTAATCCATAAATACTTACTCTGTGGGTAGCAGAGATAGTCTGGAAAGCAGAACTCTTCTTCTTCTTAGCAGGTCCGCCTGAAGCAGCAGGTTCAGCAGGAGCAAACAGGGTCTGGACCAAAGCTTCCTTGGAGTGCATCAACAATTCAACAATAGTTTCATTCAAAGGATCCTTGTTCTTTTCTAACCAAGCAGTAATACTGTATGGTACAGTACCAGCATAATGATGAAGTTCAAAATGAGCTTCACCCTTGACTTTCTTGCCGACTGGTTTACCAAAGTTGGGTGATTTACCAAGATGATTTTGGTAGAGTTTTTCCATGAATGATTTATCACTAGCTTTAGGGAACATACATTCTTCTTCAAGGATTGATAAGATACCTAAAGGTTTTTCAATCAAATCAACACAGGCCTGTAAATCCATACCGAAATCAATAAATTCCCATTCAATTCCTTCTTTCTTGTATTCTTCTTGTTCCAACACAAACATGTGATGGTTGAAAAATTGTTGAAGACGTTCGTTGGTGTAGTTGATACATAACTGTTCAAAACTGTTGAACTGGAATAGAAAGATTTTGTTTTCATGGATATGATAATATATTGAGTATGACAGAAGATTATCAAAACTGTATAAATCATCAATGTACTGCTTAAACATGGCTCTCTATAGTTGATGATTGTCAATCGAAAAGAGAAAGGCGTTATATTCATAGAATACAAAGATAAAATACTTACATCAAAGATTTCAAAACCAGCAATATCCAGTACACCAATGAAGAATTGTCTCTTGGCCTTGGTATCTAAAGTTTTGTTGACACGGACAACCATGCTCTTGAACATACGATCATACAGAGATTTGGCTAAAGCGGATACTGAATATACAACTTGATCCTTGGTACGACCTTGTGTTACAAATTCTGTTCCGACCTTGATCTTTGGTTTCAAAAATCCTTTCAATAAATCTTCAGGGTTGATACCCAAAAGGAAGGCAACCTTTTCAGCTTCTACAAATCAAAGGAGACACATAGTTTATAACGTGGACGAAATAAGATTGTTAAGAAGCAATTGGAGAATCAGTGAAGACGAAACTTGCTTTAAAGATTGCAAACTGAAGTTACATTCATCGGTTTACAGTCACTGTCTCAGTCAAACCAACACATTACTGTATGTTTTGTTGATATGGAATGACGATCCTTCAGTATTTATGTATTTAGAAGTCTGTTAATATTACAGAAGTTACTTACCAGCATTTCCATCAGATTCAGCTTGTTCACCTCTCTGTTTAAATTTCATTTCACCGAAATGGACGATGGCACCAGTACATTTTAAGTAACTCAACTTTTCGTCTTCACTGAATCCCAGAACGTCGAAAGCTTTCTGTAAAGGACAAGAAGAACATTATTGTTGATTTATGAAGAGCTCAGAATTATTGGCAGTTAGAGTCATGGCAAATCTTGGCTTTCTTTTGAGAACTTGGCAAATAATTAGTCTCCTGTGCGTTTATTACTTTTTGGATGTGTTTACACTGTCGGATTAAGAATAACTTACGTCAGTGTCTTTCATTTCCTGTGTATCATCAATACTATCAACAGTTAAACAACCTTGGTTGATAAATGAATATAAAGCTGGATCAGGACTGACCAATAATTTCTCTGTAATAAAGCAAATATATCATGAAGAAATGACGGATCCAATAAACGTTGGTTGGGATCGTTATGCGAAGTCTAATTGATAATTGGATAGTAACGAATATTCTCATTGAATACTTTGAGGTTGTTATTTGTTTTTGACCAGTATTTCCTTTTAGTGAGACAAGCATGGTCCTTGAATTTTGGGGGTAAAGGTCGACTGGTGAACTTACCATGGTAAGCAGGAATAGCGTTAGATAAAAGTTGATAGAAAATATGGTAATTTCTTTCAGCTGGTTGACAATATGTTACTCGAGATTTCTCCAATAAATCTGTAAAGAGATTGTTCGAGGTCATTGTTATGATGGTATGATTGAATGCAAGAATAAAAACCCTAAGATATATGCAAATTTAGAGTAAGCAGTTCATACCAAGAGATGCATGAGTTTATCTTTGAAATTGCTCTTTTCATGGCATTGATTAAGAAATTATAATGTAGCCTTTACTTACATTGTTCAATATCAGCTCCAGAGATTTTACCTTGGGTACCAAAATGGATACGGATAAATTTACCCTAAAATATAATAACGTGACAAATTGAAATAGATACCAATTTTAGGTATGACCCACTATGATGAATATTTACGCTTATCATTTATACAATCTTATGTCCGTTTGCAGCTCTACGGTATGGATGACATGTAAGACATAACAGTTTCTTTGAATGGAAAGTTTTATTAGAACGTCTCGTAATACTTACGAATCTAGAAGAGTTGTTATTACGGGTTGTCTTGGCGTTACCGTAAGCTTCAAGTACTGGATTACATTGTACAATCTGATCTTCTAGTGTACCCTGTGAAAACATGAACGAAACCATTACTGATCATCAGAAAACAAGTTTACCAATTGGCAAACTGTTATTTCAATTACGACTTCTCGCTTTTCAAGAGCGTCTGCAGTTTCAAAATGTGTAAACCTAAATAAAGAATCAACACCAATCAGTTTTTTTTACCTTTTTCTCGTCTTTCTTTTCTTCTTCTTCATCACCTTTTTGTCCCATGGCAGCAACTTGAGCAAAGTACATAATGACTTTCTTTGTATTTTCTGTTTTACCAGCACCAGATTCACCGCTGAAATTATATATATTAAATTATAATAATTAATTTGTAGTTTAATATCGATGATCAGTGTCGTCGGCAAAATCATGATCTGTACCGTTTGACCAGTGACACCTGATGCTTGACATGGTTGGCGGTAAAGAGTTAGTTTGATTAATTTTTCTTGTTAGATAATTCTTTTGACGCATAAATTTTGAATATGTCATCGAATAGAAATAATATACTTACGTAATCAAAACTGATTGATTTTCACGTTCTTGTACCATAGATTGATAGGCATTATCAGCAATAGCAAATAAATGAGGTGGCATCTCCATCTTTCTTTTACCACGATATTTAGCGATAACACTCAATGTATAAATAGGTAATCTTTTATAAGGATTAATGGCGATACAAAATAATCCTGAATAAGTCTGAAATGATAAGAAAAAGCAAATGAAAATCAATGATATTGGTAGACAGCAAGGCGAATTATTTAATCCTTATCCTTTCAATATTTGTGAAAATGAAATGATTGGAACCAAAACGCTGAATTTTCTTTTTCAGTTCACGGAATTTTAAAGTAATTTATTTTTATTAATTTCTATTTTGGTGAGACTGAAATTGGTATTCGGATAAAATACTTACATAGATAAGTCCTGATGTATAACGGGATCTTAAATTATGAAGAACTGAAGCCTCATTCAAGAAGGTCATATTGGCCATATCTTCGATTTTCTCATATTTTGGTGGATTCATTTGTTGAAGTTGGTCCTTTTTTACTGTTCTTTGCTGGAAAAAGAAATTACAATTGGTGTCTGAGTGTAAAATATTTTGTTTCCAGATTCATTTTAATTTTCATTTACTATTTGGCTTTGAGTTCAAATATTTACCTCATTGTTGGTGGTAATTTTAACTGTGATTTCATCACCTTTACTGCTAACAATTTCAGCTGGTAAGAAAGAGGCTTGAGGATCAGGAACCCAACAAGCTTTTTTACCATCAAAAGCTTTAGTTTGTTCTTCCATCAACTTCTTCCTGTCTACAGCCAGATATTTCATATCAGGATCATTGGGATCGTAAGAGCCAGCCATCTTGGTAGAAGTTCTGTTTCAAAATCCAACGAGAAATGACACTGACTGATAAAGCTTTCCAGACAAACTGTAAAGAAAATATATTCAAAATTTTTAAAATTTCCTAGAAAGCTACCACTCTAGTACATGTTTCTAGCAATCTTAAATTTATTTTTCTTTCTAAATGTTTTGTCATATTCTTTGTCACGTCAAAGGAGCATCTGCAAAACCTTATTGAAAACTTGAGGTTGAAATTGTAATGCCTTTGAGGTAAGACAGCAATATCAACAAGCGGAAAGTAACACTGAAAATTACAATAATGAATACTTACAGAGCAAAGTCAGTTGTGCTGAATCTAGAAATTGTTGCTGTATTTAAAGGCAGAAACGTTACCGGCACCATGCCGATGCAAGATAATACAACATTGTTGATTGGTTATGACAAACTTCTCAACCAATCAGAAAGATTCTAATAATGGATCATCGGGAATTCTTAAAAAGGACATGATATCTCAGAATGATAAGAAACGGTAGATCTACGATTGTGTAATAATTAATAGTAACTATACTAATAACGGCATGGGGTATCAATATGTTGGACTAATGCTTAGAATTATACAAATAATAACATATGTGATGATTTGCTTCATTAGGATAATCACTATGTGCATCTCATTTTTCTTTCATATCATTTGGGGGAGTATATACTATATGGGGAGTGGATGGGGGTTCTCGCGAGTATTTGTGGAAATACGACATAGTTTTAGGCAAAGTAAGATGTTAGTTTGAACAGAATTGATAAACTTCATAAATTATTAAAGAATTAATTTCGAAAGGTAATTTTTTTTTACCAAATTCTTAAAAAAGAGAAGGATGGGTTTCATTGGTTTAGCTTATCCGAGATTTTTGTTTCCAAATAAAAAATAAGTGCGTTCCTGTATAACATAACATTTTGTAAAGAGCGAAAGAATTAGGAAAGTCGAAATCATTCAAATACTGCTAAAGAATACGAGGACCCAGTAAATGTTTACTAATTTCAAAGCAGCCGAAGGTTGAGAACATGATGAATTTATTTCTACCTCTGATTAACTGGTCCTTATCTTCTTTTTTCGAATAAAATCGAAATATTTAATCAAATGTTAAATTATTATAAATGTGTGTGCAAATTTCTCTAAATGATAATTGTTGATGAGGGAATGACGGAGAGGCAAGATGTGTATGTTCTTAATCTATAATCTTAATCGACAAGTTAATCTTGATTTAATTAATTAAGATATTACCCTCCTACTGTTGACACGTGTAATCCAGCTGACCGTTTTCCATGGCCGATCATGGATATTGTCGTGGTAATAATTTTACGATTATTGTCGAAATTCTAATACTTTCAACATTCAAAGGCAAATATTCCCCGACCCCTATTTCTCTTCATTACGTTCGAAATAAAATGTTACTGTAGTATATCGTCGTCCTTATCAGTCCGTTAATTATGTTGAGACTGCGATAGAGGTTAATATGTTCATCTGATTTTGATGAAAAATTGTTAAAATGTATAATGAGTTTTAAACTGTTGAATAGTTAAAGACATTATTTTGAGTTATTGTCTTTGACTATGCTATGAAATATTGGCCAGTTCTGGCAATTACAATGGTTTATCGAAGTTGCTCTTAAGGCGCCTTACATAATGGTGGTAATATTGGCAGTAGAATAAGCTAGCTAATCTGGAATGATATAACCAAAGAATGATAAACTATATACGATATTGGGCCTCATTAATCAATTCCTTGCGAAACTAGAATTTTTATACTCGTCTTTATATTTACAGTGTTTTTTGGATTGCTGTACACTGAACACATCTGTGATCATTTTTGGAAAATTATGGACAGTAACGTCTTTGATAAGACTATTTCACTATTGTATGTTATATGCAATGAACGTGTGTGTGTGTATATAATGTAGTCGAAGACTTTATTTTCAAAAGAAAGGTAAGTTGATTTGATATGTTTATGAAGAAACTGGTAAAACTACACGTATGATTCTTCAGATGGTCGTGATCGTTTAAATTTTCAAAAGGCAAAGGAAAACCTAGTCATACGACATCTCTGTTGTCATTAGTTCTAAATTTTCATGTGTCCTCGAATATATCTGAATTTCTGTGCCATTTGAAATCTGGAAACAAAAGGCGATGGAAACATATTACCAGGTTTGCCATTTTCTGTACTGTACTGTTCCGTTACAAATGCAATCCAGGCAACTGGTCAAATATGCATGCTCGGGTTTTCTAATAAAGATATGTCCAATATCAGGTAGGGTCTAAAAAAAATTTTTATCGTAGTAATTTAGATTTGGATTCGAGGGAAGCTTCAGGACTTCTGTTTGAGAAGAAAGTTGCTTTTAAGGTACATGTTAGCCATATCAGATTGATTTGTAGATCATTTGTGCTAAAGGCGCATTGGAATCACAATTTATTCATTATAAAAATCAAATCATCATCCAATCATACCAGCCGATAGAGCAATTTGAACAGTGTTTTGTAGTGTAAAGTGTAAATTTGCGATGTCATGAGGGCAAAATTGTTTCACTATGTGCAAAAATTCAACTGACATTACTTCTAAAAGGTTGTATTGATATGTTTGTTTCAGACGAATAGTGTACCATGTTTCAAAACTGAAAGTGGCTTCGAGCACTTGTGATAAATATATGTACATGTATTTAGTTGAGTAGATAGAGCAGGGTAGGGTAGGGTCCATTGAGTGTAAAGCTTCTGAAGATGAGTTGTCTTGCTTACTAGGACATTCTGCCGTCATCAGCCTTGTTCAGCTATTTACACATTGTTTTTATTCAAAATTGAAATGTTATCTTTCGTTATCCCACTGCTTCTATGATTTTTTTTTTTATACAAAACAATTGTTTGCAGCATCAGATCTTCGTCGTCAATATCCCTCAATACATCCAACCAGTCACGCTCTCAGTGGTTCCCCCTTAGAAAACATATTTTCATACCCAATTGTACCTCCACTATTATTTAACAAATTTAATATGATTTTTATACGTTTGCCCAAAACTATGTGTAAGAACGCACCAGTTTTTCGAAAATATTCTCCATAGAATCCTCTCCGAAGCTCTTTGAGTAGCTTGCGACTATGACGTCTCCACAGATTTGGCGAATTTTAAATTCAGCCTGGACACAGTTGTCCCCTCCCTTGAGTCTTCCCCCTATTGGTACCCCCAGTCTTGGTAGGCTTTTGTCGTCACTGTTCAAAACACATCAAATACGGGAATGCTTTTATTGCATCATATCAACACATACTACAGGTTAAACACAATTTTCAACTGAATACAAATTAACAGAAAATAAATAGTCATGAATAAATATAATAAATATCGGGATATGTTTATAATATTTGATTTTGCAACTGAAAATGTAATGTTCCAATCCATACTATATTTGTTAACTCGGTCTCAGAGATTTCATGTAACTGTTTTTATTATATTTATTTTATTGAAATATTGAGTATTTGTTCAGTAAAAATTCACATTGTTTTCAAATTTCACCCATATACTTGGGTATTTGGGACATGGCGAAAAGGGTTGATAACTCTATTTCTATGGTACTAAAATATCCTATGGTAAACCATTTAAAAATCTGAAAAAAAAATAAAAATGAAAGCATTAAGATTTTTTTCAACGGATTTTGGAAGCTTTAGTCATAGAAGCTGTACCACCCCTTTATGCTTCCAGAGAAACGCTTTATCAGATTTCCATTGGCGAAAGAATTTCAACTTAAACTTATATATCCATTTTCAAGCACCCTGTTTGAATGTTTTGCAATTTACATATAGTTCATACTTACTCTGTGTAACCGAGCCAGCTCTTCCAACTCGGGATGTAGAGGATGCTCGTGGCTGAGAGACACTGCTTCTATTCTTAGCTCTAAGTTTAGCAGCAAGACTTTCAGCCGAATCAGCTCGCTCTTCAGCATCTTCCAACTCACTCTGGACCTTTCTGAATTTAGCCAAGTTAACAGCAGCAATTTCCTCCTGAAATAATTAAATAAGATTTGTACAAAAATCACTAAGCAGGCTTTTCGACGATCGAAAAACCTGTATCTCTTCGGCTAGTTTCGGCTGTGCAAGCAATTGAAGACATTACCAGATGTTTTATTCAGCTGATAATCAATCGTTAAAAGAGAAGTCCTATTGTGATTGTATAGAGAAGTCTTTCATGCTAACAATGGATAGGAAGTGACAAGTTCTAGACCAATATAAGCTCTACTTACGGCTTCTTCAACTTGTCTCTTGTAGGTTTTGATTTTACCATTGAGTTTGTCAATGAGTTCCTGGAGACGATCTTGACTCTTTTTGTCTTCTTCGACTTGATACATCAATTCTTTTAGACGGCGGTCAGATTTGCGGATGTTCTTCTCACTTTCAGTGTATCTAGCTTGAGAGGTCTCCAGTTGGCCTTCAAGGTCTCGGACCCTTTGTTCCAGTTTGGCTAGTAATCGCTTGCCTCCTTTAAGAGCATTGGCCTCAGACTCATCAAGGCGCACTAGGAGTTCCTTGTTGGCAGCTTCAAGAGATTTACGAAGTTTTTCAATCTGTAAGCTGTGTTCCTGTTCATTTCTAAGTTCTTCAGCCAATCTTGCAGCATCCATTATAGCCTTCTTTCCACGTTCTTCAGAAGTTCTCAATTCGTTATTCATCTCATCCAAATCAGCTTGCATGGCAGCGATGTCGCTTTCCAAACGTCTCTTTTGTCCCTGGATGGAGCTGTTTTGAGCTGTTAGTTCATTGACTCTATCACTTGCGTCATTCAATTCGTTTTCAGCAGCCTTCCTTGCTCGTTCAGCCTGAAAAGTATTTTCATTTTGTTAACTTTGTGTAACCAAGTTATTAAATTAATACGAGTTATAAGGAAAATGCTTCCTGTTAAAAAGAAGATCTGTTCTTTCCTTCGCACAAGTAAATGAATACTTTTTGTGGTGGCTTTTTCCATATTTGCTTCAATTTCAAGTATGTAGATATTGGCGTGAAATCTGTTATGTGCAAAATTATATCTGTTACCTGTTCAAGAACAGTTCTAAGTTCTTCAACTTCACCAGCAATAGCAGCACAACGTCTTTCAGCCATGTTGTAGGCTTCTCTTGATTCTTCTTTTTGACGTTGTTCGTCCTCAACCTGAGATTCGAGTTCCTGAAATAGATCATCAATATGTTAACATACGTTCACAAACAGTTCTCTGAAAGGGATCGGAGATCATATTATACCATCTAACCATTTCAAATGTAATCTTTATGAAGCCCTCAATGACATGGGTCTTTATGAAGCTCTCAATGATATGGGTCTTTATGAAGCTCTCAATGACATGGGTCTTTATGAAACTCTTTATGACATGAGTCTTTATGAAACTCTTAATGACATGGGTCTTTATGAAACTCTTTATGACATGAGTCTTTATGAAACTCTTAATGACATGGGTCTTTATGAAACTCTTTATGACATGAGTGTTTATGAAACTCTTAATGACATGGGTCTTTATGAAACTCTTAATGACATGGGTCTTTATGAAATTCTTAATGGCATGGGTCTTTATGAAACTCTTTATGACATGAATCTCTATGAAATTCTTAATGACATGAGTCTTTATGAAACTCTTAATGACATGGGTCTTTATCAAGCTCTCAATGACATGGGTCTTTATGAAGCTCTAAATGACATGGGTCTTTATGAAACTCTTTATGACATGAATCTTTATGAAACTCTTAATGGCATGGGTCATTATGAAGCTCTTTATGACACAAATCTTTATGAAGCTCTCAATGGCATGGGTGATTATGAAGCTCTAAATGACATTAGGCTTTATGAAACTCTTAATGACATGAGTCTTTATGAACCTCTCAGTGACATGGGTCTTTATGACATGAATCTTTATGAAGCTCTTTATGACATGAATCTTTATGAAGCTCTTTATGACATGAATCTTTATGAAGCTCTCAATGGCATGGGTCATTATGAAGATCTAAATGATATGGGTCATTATGAAGCTCTCAATGGCATGGGTCTTTATGAAACTCTTAATGACATGGGTCTTTTTGATCTCTGAATGAAATGGGTCTTTATGAAACTCTTTATGACATGAGTCTTTATAAATTTCTTAGTCTCATGGGTTTTTCATGAAACGTCTATGAAACGGATTTTTATGATATAATCCGTGACATTGATAACCTATCAATGGTATGCGTCATAAGGAAACTATCACTGACTTTGATCTTTAGAAAATTATTAGTGACTCTGATCTTTTAGAAACTATCAGTGGATATATTTAGATAGTTGATGAAAGGAAGTATTGTCACATGACTTGAACCGAGAATCAGTAAAGATACTCACCGTTACTTGTTGTTGGTATTTCTTAACATTTTTCTCCATTTCAGCACGGCTTCTGTTAGCAGCATCAAGTGCAATTTCCAATTCATTGATATCTGATTCTAATTTCTTCTTTATCTTCATAGCTTCAGATTTACCCTTAGTTTCAGCTTCTAGAGATGCTTGCATGGATTCAAGAGCTCTATGGTGGTTACGTCTGCAATTTTTAAATTTCAATATTATACCAGCGCTATCATACCACATTATAGAAAACTAAAACTAAAACTTATTTATAGATGAATGACAGCATCGAACTAGCTCCCAAAATCTTTGTTCAGAAACTTTTAATTGAATTACCTGGTGTTTTCGAATTCATCTTCCTTTTCATGAAGTCTTCTGTCGATGTCCTGGCGTACGTTAGATATTTCAAGCTGAGCTCGCATAACTTTAGCTTCTTCTTGCTCAAGTGTTGCTTCAGCCTCTTCAAGAGCGGTTTGAAGTTCTTCTTTTTCCATCTCGAGACGTCGTTTGGCTTTTTCAACTTCATGGACGCTTCGACCACCTTCACTTAGCTGATCTGTTAGTTCTTTGATTTCATCTGTAAAAAGATAGTGCAGCACGTTACACCGACATCATTGTTCAACTCACTCGAATGGCATTTCACTAAAATAAGACTGAGAGTCTATGAAAAATGGACGAAGCAAATTGTATACTTTAGGATGAATTCGACTATAAGAGACACCGTTTCTGTTCTTATTAAGGTACTTTTCACCTATATTCATCATATCTTACCTGCCAAGTTCTTGTTTTCTCTCTTCATAGATTCATATCGGTCATTAGCCTCTTCTTCTCTGGCTTTGATACGGAAGAGTTCAGCAGAATAACCTCGTGATTCTTTCTGGGAGTTCTCAAGTTCGGATTGAAGGTCGCGGTTCTTCACCTCCCATTCTTGAATGGATTTGTCGAAGTTACGTTGTTTCTTTTCTAATATGCTAGCATTACTGTTGGCCTTGAAAATATAACAGAACTAAATTTAGTATTGATCTCAATTGTATGATCCCGTTATAGTGTATATAATTGCCAACTCAATTTATTTGTTTTTGTCTTTAATGCGGGACTGAAAGTGTGCATATGACATATTCCGGCTCTAGGATTCATTTGGGCACAGATCTATGTACAGTTGTTGGATACACATTACTACCCTTCATATCGTCCGGATTATATCACAACTGATTTGGTTGAACGGGTGCACATGAAATGAATATTTTAACTAAATTACCCTTTCGACTTCAATAACCAAATCTTCAAGTTCTCCTTGCATTCTTGATTTGGTTTTCTCCAAATTGTTAACTTTGATGTTGGCAGCTTCAGCATTTTGTTCTGCTTCAGCCAGCTTTTGTTGGAGTTTTCGTCTGCAAAGGACGGATATATCATATAGCCATTAATTCAAACATGGATTTTGTAGCTCTGTCAATCATCTTGAAATCACTTTCAGTTACAATATACATTAACATTCAAAACAAAGTGGTATATCAGTCAACCGACTTGATACATTTCCAAAATATTTTCGAGTTGTATAATTGTCCCGACAATTAGATTAAAAAATATCATTTTATGAAAATGCTATACTTTTCAAATCAACATAGAACTGAACAATCCTTACTTAGCTTCCTCGAGCTCTTCTGCTTTTGCCATTCCTTCTCCTTCATATTTGTTTCTCCATTGTTGAGCCTCTCCGTTGGCTTTGGATAGTTGTCGTTGAAGATTGCTTCTAACCTCTTGTTCTTCTTCGAGTTGTTCACGGAGGGAATCAATTTCAGATTGAAAGCTTCGGAGATCACTCTGCATCTTCTGTCTCTGTCTAGTTTCATCTTCAAGATTTCTTTGAGTTTCTTCGAGTTTGCTGCTGAGATGACTCTTTTCTTTAGACAGCTCTCCAACTCTGTGTTCAGCCTCCTCAAGTTGTCGAGTAAGTTCTGATGTTTCTTGTTGAAGTTTTCCTTTGGTTGACTGTAAGTCGCTGACAGTTCTATTGGCCTCATCCAATCGAGCGTTTAATTCTCCAATCTGAGCTTCCACTTGTTTGGACATCTTCTCGGACATTCCCTAAAATATAATGCGTGACATGAAGTATTATGAATTAGCAAATAATGTATTCCGGTATTTTTGGACTCGATTCTTCCCTAAAAGTAGATTCTGAGCACTTTTTTTCCTCCGAAAAATCCCTCAATTTAACTAGTCATATTTGACGCGATTACCTTGTTTTTGCTGGCGTGTTGAAGTTGAGCGGCAACATCTTCTGCTTCAGCTTTAGCCTGATTTTTCTCTTTTTCCAATCTACAAAATGATCGTTAGCGTTATTAGAATTAAGAATTTTGTAAACTTCATCGAAATAAATCGGTTGGCCAACAGGAAAATCCTTTATCTTTTCTCATCTGTCTGCATATGTTTCGTTGCCTTTTATGGATTTGATGAGGCGAAGGAAGCAGAATGAATTTGGACAATCTGAGATTAAATAGCTCTATGTGATCCTTGATGTGATGTGCCAGTTAAGTTAAACACCAGGTTTGCATGACTCACTTGCTCTTGACCTTTTGGAGTTGATCAATTTGGTCAGACAATTCATTGTTAGATTCTTGTGTCTTCTTTCGGAGACTAGCAATTTGAGCATCATGTTGAAGCTGACTTTCTTCAAGATCACGTCTGAGTTTCAATAATTCTTGTTCACGTTTCTTGTTGATGTCAATTTGGGCAGATGTGGCACCACCAGCTTCATCAAGACGTTCACTGATGTCTTCGATTTCTCTTGACAATTCATTACGCTGCTTCTCCACCTGGAACAGACAATCAATATTTCAACCCAATTCAAACGGGCTTCCGATATATGGTAACCGACAAGTTCAAAGATCTCTTGCTGTTGTTTTTAGGGTTAGGCCTTTCCAACTCCAAATTTGTATCAATATACCAGAGAAATAAATCCCCATTAAAAACGAATTCTCCATTTGGCGATATGCATGACATATCACGGTATCCACGCTCTTCAATCGGCCAGATAAAGCTCGTGCATTAAAATGCCACACTGCATAAGATTAAATACTTGCCTTAGAACGAGATTGTCTTTCAGCTTCAAGTTCTTCCTCAAGCTCTTCAATTCTGGCCTAAGATAAAGAAAAACAGAAGTCAATCATGCGAATCATCATAACTGTGTGCAAGGAAATAACATGGCATAGTGATATTTTGAAGAGAACTTGGTTCATATGGGATGTTTTAGATTATCATGCATACCTGGAGTTCCTTGATCTTCCTTTGAAGCTGAGCAACCAAATTTTGTTCATCTTCAAGTCTGGAATTAAGACCATTGATTTCGGTGTCTTTTCGTCTGACGTTTTCTTCTAATTCGCGTTTGGTTCGTTCTAAGTCTTCTACTGCTTCTTGTGTCGCTTTAAGATCTTGTTCAACCTTTCGTTTCGCCTTTTCGACGTCACCTCGAACTTTCTTTTCTCGTTCTAAATTGTTTTCGAGCTGAAAATTCAATCAAGAATAAATAAACCATGTATTAACGACCGCTAAACGAAACCCGAAATCCAAACAACATATTAACAAAACTTTGGTTCATGAACTTTTTACATGAGGAAGTATATAAATCATAAGTGAGTAGGCAATTCAAAATGAAAAGTGGTATCAGGTGTCCAGAAGAGTAAGCGTTCGTGTAATATTAACGTTTTCAGACAGACCGCATCCTTGTTCGCTTTAATCGTCTAACTATCTTGATTTATCGCGCAATGCATTCGACATACGATGTCCGATAAGATTAAACACTCACCTCGTCAAGAGTCTGTTCTAATTTGGTTTTAAGTTTACTCAAATGATTAACTTTATCTTCTTCAGCTTGAAGGTCTGACATAAGCTTTTTATTGTCTTCGTCCATGTTCTTCTTATCTTTGTTAAGTTTAGCAATCTGTTCATCTTGTTGGGCCATTTCATCTTGGAGTGTTTTGATCTGGTTGTCTTTAGTTTGCTTCTCTTGTTCAGCTTTGGCTAAATTGTTTTCAACCTCATCAAGATCTTTCTTAAGATCGCTATTTTCTTTTTCTAACTTCTTTTTCTTCTCTTCTATTTCACCAGCAGCATCTTCTTCATCCAGAAGTCTTTCTTCCATTTCTTTTATCTGAGCTTCAAAATCGACCTTTTGTCGGATGAAGTTTTCGATTCGTTCCTGACACTCAGAAACATTGTCCTGCTCGGCCTGAAGTTGGATGAACATGTCGTTCTTTTGTTGAAGTAATACCGTGTTCTGTTCTTCAAGTTCCTTCTTGATTTTCTCCACTTTCTCTAATTCAACTTTCGTCTTTTCAAACTGTTCCTCTTTCTGTTTCATCTCATCTTCAGCACGGGCGATGTTCAAAAGTGGTTTTACTTTGACGTACATCTTCCACCAGAGCCAATTTCTCATGGACAACCATTTACGAATGTTCTTCTGGATAACAGACAGACCAATTCTGAAAACAATATATTCGTACTTAATTCGGTCTTGTGACCATACATTTGATGCATTGAGACAGTATCGAATTCGTCATATCGTGATGCCTTCATTAGTGCGGAAAAAAACGGAAAATAAATTCCCGATTATGCTCATACGAGGGCAATGTGTTCAATCCAGCCAACACCAATTAATGATATTAAAGATAATTTTGAATAAGTAATTTTATAAGTACCGTTGATCACAAAGTTTCTTATATGCCTTCCTCATCAAGTAACCTCTGATGTGAGCTTGGAACATGGAAATAATGGAACTTAATCTTTCATCACGAAGATCTTCAAGATAACCTAAAACACCAGCTTTGAAGAAGACTTTCGTGGTACCAAGCTTGTATTCAGCAGTGTCCATTTCCAAAGCCAGAAGAATCTTGGTAGCAACTGTTTTACCATCAACAAAACCATCAGGAATAGCATTGGGAGCCAAGATTGAGTATCTGAAAAACACACGGAGAGGTGTAAATCCGTCTATTTTTTGTCTGTAGCTAATAAAACATAATTGTGATCCAGAAAATAAGTCTCTAAATACCTCCATTTTCTTGACTGGCTATGTCCATGTTCTTCAATGTGTTAAAAATTTCAATTATAGTATTTACCTTTGCTTGAACTCTCCATACACAATTCTATTGGGAAATCCCTTTCTACAAATACGGATACCTTCCAATACACCATTACATTGAAGCTGGTGAAGAACCAAATGAGCATCGACCTCACCAGGTTGTTTAAATTCATTAGGAATAATACAACGTACAAAATGAGGATGAGTACTGTACAAGTTCTTCATCAATTTATTCAAAGATTCCTGAAAGATAAACAATGTTTGCATGATAAGCAATATCATTCGAGTGGTTTCGTGAACTTCTCTTTTGTAGTCGATTACACTCCGAAGCGCCAAAATGTGGTGTAACTTCAAACGTCTCATTTTGTATGCGGTGTTACGATCAGTTGTGTAGCGAGCATTTCATTGACGCCGGGCCATCCGAGCACCTCGGCTTCCATTTTGTATATTAGAGGGTACTAGTTTCGGTGGGGGTCTGGAAATTTTTTCCAATCTAGGAAGGCGGAGAATGCATCTAACGAGATTTTGGCATTGAAAGTAGAATCAATTTTTTTTCTGTCCCTAGGTGGGGGGCATGTCCCCCTAAATACATCACTGATCTAGTATTAAGTACCCTTTCATCAAATTTACTTACTCTATGGGTGGCGGAAATGGTCTGGAAAGCAGAACTCTTCTTCTTCTTTGTTGTACCACCAGCAGCAGCAGGATCTACACAAGATAAATATATACAATAATAAAATATTTTCACTGTTAAAATAGTGCCCAATACATCAATTGTAGAGGGATATATAAATACCAGTGTTTAAATAGTGCTCAATACATTAATATTGTAGAGCGATATAGAAATATTATAGTGAAGATCGCATATAAACTCTGAATAACAACATGGTTCAAGTTTTGTTTTAATATTTCAATGCTTCAATACAAATAGATATACAAATATACAAATATGTATAAGAGCCCTGATATTAGTTTTGCCTTTTGTCTCCTTATTGTTATAATGTGGGTACATTCGAGGTTTTGTCGGTCAAGTCTATAGAATATTATTTAGCTTTTAAGCTGCTTGTCTGCATGAAAATCAAAACGGATCAAATTTTATTGATGATTTTGAGTTTTAAAAACATGAATTTGGAATAATTACCAGCAGGAGCGAACAGGGATTGTACCAGTGGTTCCTTTGAATGCATCAACAATTCAACAATAGTCTCGTTCAAAGGATCCTTGTTCTTCTCGAGCCAACCAGTAATACTGTATGGTACAGTACCAGCATAATGATGAAGTTCAAAATGAGCTTCACCCTTGACTTTCTTGCCGACTGGTTTACCAAAGTTGGGTGATTTACCCAAATGGTTGGAGTACAGTTTATCCATGAATGATTTATCACTAGCTTTAGGGAACATACATTCTTCTTCTAAGATGGATAAGATACCTAAAGGCTGGAATAGAAAAATGTTGAAAATTGATAAAATTTGAAAGTTCAAAACATTTTCTGGAAAACCATCTTTTCAATTCTGAATATCTACAAGCTGAATCAAAACAATGAAAACGGAAACATACCTTTTCAATCAAATCAACACAGGCCTGTAAATCCATACCGAAATCAATAAATTCCCATTCAATTCCTTCTTTCTTGTATTCTTCTTGTTCCAGAATGAACATGTGATGGTTGAAGAATTGTTGAAGACGTTCGTTGGTGTAGTTGATACAAATCTGTTCAAAACTGTTGAACTGCAAAATAAAAAAAAAACACAACAATATTGAAATTTCTCTGACTCGTCTCCATACTGGATTACTAAGTTACAAATGTATAGTTAGTTTGATAAACGTAATCTATTCATAACTTACGTCGAAAATTTCAAAACCAGCAATATCCAGTACACCAATGAAGAATTGTCTCTTGGCCTTAGTATCTAAAGTTCTGTTGACACGAACAACCATGTTCTTGAACATACGATCGTACAGAGATTTTGCCAAAGCTCCAACAGAGTTGACCACTTGGACCTTGTTTCTTCCCTGAGTGACATACTCGTTACCGACTTTAATCTTTGGCTTCAAGAATCCTTTCATTAAATCTCCGGAGTTGATACCCAATAAGAAAGCGACCTTTTCAGCTTCTACAAATCAAATAAGTGAAAATAGAACAAACTGTTCAAAGATAATTTAAACCAATACATTATCTCCTTTCGTTACTCCAGAATCAAGTAGAAGGTTAAAAGTATGAATGAAACGAATAAACAGACGAACAAGCAACACATATTATCGGTCATGGATGAATTTGGGCACCACCTGTGAAAAAATAATTAACTGAATGTGTAAAAGTTTTACCAGCAGTTCCATCAGATTCAGCCTGTTCTTCTCTGGGTCTCTGTTTGAATTTCATTTCACCAAAATGGATGATGGCACCGGTACATTTGAAGAAACCCATTTTTTCCTCCTCACTGAATCCCAAGACATCGAAAGCTTTCTGCAATACATAGATGACATCGTGAATAGCCAACTAGGTATTTTTGAATCAATGCAGACAATGGGAGAATGCTGCCAAAACTTACTATCAAATCGAATATTCGGTAATTTCAGATATATTAAGAAACCAAAACAATTAAGGTAATATCATTCGTATATATTCACTTGTTAATGAACAAAAAAGCCTGAATGTCTTCATATACTTACATCTGTATCCAACATTTCCTGTGAATCATCAATATTGTCCACAGTAATACAGCCTTGGTTGATAAATGAATAAAGGGCTGGATCTGGACTTAACAGCAGCTTTTCTGAAAACCGTTCACATTTGGTTAAAATGTATTATCAATTTTAGTAAGGTATGGACTCCAGCCATTCCCCGGGCTTATCAATTACCGTATATCGCATGATAGTAAGAAATATACAGAAGTACGGTTTTTGGATTTCCTTCACCAAAACCTAGACATCTGCTCAATTTGCAGCCCAGCAGCCAACTTGATTGTTCCAAGGATGGAGGGGGGGGGGGGGGGCAAGTAATATATCCGGAGGGGTAATGGTGTATGGTGATTGGTTGAAGCCCCACGTGCCCCCCCCCCCCCAATATCAATATCAATATCTACCTGGATAAAGTGGGATTGCGTTAGACAGAAGCTGGTAGAAAATATGGTAGTTTCTTTCTGCAGATTGTTGAAATGTAACTCGAGATTTCTCCAACAAGTCTGCAAACATAAATCAAATCGTTTTGCATTAGTAGTATATTCAAGAATTTCTTCCTACATTTTGCCACAGAAATAAGTCAGCTTAAAACCATCTTAACTAGCGAGTGCCTTTCTATTTCTCTTACATCACATCAGTACATTATATGTTTTGCATTGGGACCAATGATAGGTAAACGGTTTAAATCATCTCCACAGTGTCAAGCGATTACGAACTGCGTCTAATTCATTGACTGCAATTGGACACTTGCGAATACATACAGTTAGAGCCCTTGACATATAAACTGTAAACATTATGGCTTATTGTTTACAGACTTTTGTCGAAGTTCTGCTTGGATTCAATCCAATCAAATCGCTACATTTACAAGCTTGCGTAGTAGAAGAAAGATGGCTATTGCAGTCAAAGTATTAGACGCGGTTCGTAATAGCTTGCCATTGTGAAGATGGGTTGAAATAAGTAAGATACATTTTCATATCACTTACATTGTTCAATATCAGCTCCAGAGATTTTACCTTGGGTACCAAAATGGATACGGATAAATTTACCCTAAAGGAATAAGAAACTCGTTAAAGACAAACACAAACAACAAAATAAATAAAAAAGCTAGGTATCTTCATAAGTTGTCATCAAAGAATGAGACCAAAGCTTGTTCTTTTCAGTTATCCGTGTCCTTAAAATGTCTGCAGAATCCGATCACTAGATCTGAAAGAAGAACATGCAAAGTACAACATTTACTTACTGGGTAAGGGTAGGTTGTGCTCTTTTAGTTGACTTCTGTCCATTACTGGACTGTAGGGTATTTTAGGCTGAGCTATTAAGTTAAGGACAGGATTATTATTGAGATTAGGTAAAGGGTCACACAGTGTTCTTGGTGCTGTAACGGAAAGGTAATAGAGTACATCTAGTGAAGAGGTCGTGTGGCATGATTATCTTTTGTGGGGTTTCTATAGGTAAAGGGACGGGGATTGGTCATTGTTGGGTGTTATTAAACCTTTGGAGGGGTATGTGGACTATGGGTTCTATTCCATGGTGCTCGTAGGTAGATATTTGGACACGACGGTGTTGCCTTTAAAGTAAGTTTGAAGGGGTAACTATATCAGATGGTCTGAGTCTGGTTAGTAACTAAATTAAGATTTGGTTGATGTCCCTCTTTTAAGACACAGTTACAATTCAACGCAAGTTAACCACCTTCGACACGGAGAAGGGAATTTGTTGATCTAGCATTCTCTGTTTATTATCATGCATTATTATTATCTCTGGATTTATTTTGGATTATGGCCCTTGGTTGCTGTGGTATCTCTACTTACGAATCTAGAAGAGTTGTTATTACGGGTTGTCTTGGCGTTACCGTAAGCTTCAAGTACTGGATTACATTGTACAATCTGATCTTCTAGTGTACCCTGTGGACAGACAATAAAATATGAATTATTTGAAAGATTGTAGCTAGCATCTCAGAAATATCTCTCAAACCATGCATATACATGAACCAAGCTGTGGGTTTTCTCAATTGACATTCCGGTTAAATTTTAAAGTGACGAAGGCTGAACTAAATGTAATTGTGGATTTGCTCGTCACGGCGTTCCTTCATCAACAGTTGCTATCTGCTGCGATCCTTTTACTTGGTTCATATAAAATTATCTGTTTAATAGAGCCGATTAAGATCTGACATAAGATATGACAAAATACATTTCTTCAAGGTTCCGTAACAAGGATTCCCTTTTGAAGATTCGGTATAACAAGTAACATTGAGCTTTCAATTGATGTGTCCTACCTTTTTGCTGTCTTTCTTCTCTTCTTCTTCTTTGTGAGCTACAGCAGCAACATGAGCAAAGTACATGATGACTTTCTTGGTATTTTCAGTTTTACCAGCACCAGATTCACCACTATAAAGCAAAGATTAATCTTGTTTGTCAAAAATCAAGATAACTTTTGACTCAAATAACCTAAATACCTGAAGCCCCGGGGGCTTACTTTTCACTTCATTAAAAGACCTTTCACAGGCCATGGCCATATAGCCCTCCCCCTAAATACACTACTGAGCTCAACCCCCGAAATCAAGTGATCTAAATGTTAAGCAGGGTTTAATTGAAGGCAATTCTGAAGAACATAACGTAAGGAGTTAACTAGTATTATGATTTTCAATTGCTGTTTTAACAAAGATATTTGATCGCACTTGAAAGAAAGATTACTCACGTAATAAGCACAGACTGATTTTCACGATCTGAAATATAAATATGTTGATATCTTTGAGAAACTAGTTTCGGCATTTAAAATTTGTACATCAAAACTGGAGATATGATTTGTTGTAAGGAAAACATGTAGAATACATTATTTTCAAAAACAAAACGTGATAAAATTTCTCACGAGTGTAGCAGTAAAAGAAATGTTTTGGCGTTGTTGTACTGTACAGTCAGGTACTGTTGATAAAGTTGTAAACAACGTGATATTGGGATTTATAACCACTGCATCAGTAAACGAAATATTTTGACTTTGTTGAGCTGTACAGTCATGTACCGTTGATAATGACGTTTTCACCGATTTTCTGAAGTGTGTACTCATTGTAGAGATTGATTTGCATTTGGAATACATAGATCAATTAGTTATTTTGGGTGCTTTACTCACCTTGCAACATGTTTTGGTAAGCGTTGTCAGAAATAGAGAACAAATGAGGAGGCATCTCAACCTTTCTCTTTCCTCGATATTTACCAATAACACTCATTGTGTAAATTGGAAGACGTCGGTAAGGATTGATGGCCACACAGAAAAGACCAGAATAAGTCTGAAATAAATAGGTATTTGATTATCAGCCGTAGTAAAAGGAATAAACGAATAGTCCCTTGATAGGTCGTATATATTATTGCTCAGAGTTGGATAATCTGAACATGCTTGGATTTGCAGGTCTGAATGCTATCTAATTAATACAAAAGTCAAAAGCTTGAAGTTACCCCGTATTTCATAAATAGGAGCTTATTGGCAAAAATACGGTAAATTTAGGCAATATTCAGATTACTTACGTAAATGAGACCTGCTTGGTAGCGGGACTTTAAGTTGTAAAGTACAGCAGCTTCATTTAAATAGGTCAAGTTAGCCATATCCTCATACTTCTCAAACTTCGGTGGATTCATCTGCTGAATGTCATCTTTCTTTACAGTCTTGATCTATGAAATGAAAACAAGATTTCCAGATTTGATTTCGGAACAAATTGAAATAATGATCCGGAACCGATTGATCTTGATGTTAGAAGACTTTTGGAAAATATAGGATTGAAACTGTATTTCAAAATTGCTCACACTTACCGACTGGTTGGTGGTGACCTTGACAGTTATCTCATCACCCTTACTGCTTTGGATTTCAGCTGGTAAAAAAGCATCTTTTTCATCCGGAACCCAACATGCTTTTTTACCATCAAAAGCTTGTGTCTGTTCTTTGAGTAGCTTCTTGCGATCTACGGCAAGATACTCGAAGTCGGGATCATTCGGGTCGTAAGACATCTTGATTAGCTACTGCCAGATGTCGATTTCAGACAAAAAGCGAAACTGTTGATGGATGTCGGTGGTGTTGAGGAACAGCCAAACTGAAAAAGAAAATATAAGGAAATGATTAAACGGCAAATAAACAGTATATTGCAAGGAAATGAGAGCCTTGTTCTTCTCCCGATGATCTGGCCACTTATTTTCTTAGCATTAAGATGTCCTAGAATCAATGTTAGAAGATAAGAACTTAGGACATCCTAGCGCAAAGATCGTTTCGAGAATACCTGGACAGGATGGGCAACAACGTGGAGTTCAATGACTGATATTATCGAAAACAGTGGAAAAGAATGATTCTTATTGATATCGGCTTTTGAGGGGTTTTTATCGTTTTCAGTACTCTGAGCCTAGATTTGTTGCCCCATTCGGAATACTGGGCTACCCATTTAAAAACGGGCTTGAAACGTCTTTCGATGACGAGTTCAATACATCGTATTATACAGTTAGTCATAGAAAGAGTTCGGTCGGTGCACAGCTAATGTGCATCTTTTGATATTCGGTGTCTATAGTAATGCTTATGGATTCATATAGTCACAGTGAAGTATGTTTTATAACAATTATAATTACAGTTTACCCTTGAAAACCAGTCTTCAGGAAAATGTAATGGTAATCGGATATTGAACTCAATTTGCCGCAATTTTCTTTTAATTTGATCAAAGAAAATCTCACAGTGCTTACATAATCACTTTGACCTCCAAAATGTGCACCGTTTTGGCAGATTTCCACCAAATAAACAGCTTGTCTGTCAAAAATAGTCAGACATGACAGCTATGAAAATATCTATGTGTAACATTACCTTAAAGTAAATAATTTTTATTGAGTACCATTTTATTGTGCCAGAAAGTTTTATTTTAGTCGTAAATGCCAATGTAAAGGCTATTGGTTTTTTTTACTAGTATGACTAATCAGACGTTCTCGTAATGGATATCCTATTAGAGCCGGCTTCGAAAGCACCAACCATGGAAAATATGTTTATTCGTGCCATGAGGAACTTCAAAGTTAAAATCCCAGAGGCTCTATATCTGCTTACTACTGACCTTTTTTTTTGGCAAATACTTGAATTTTTTAGAGTTAGAGGATGAACTTGTGAAAACATAAAGGGATTGTAAAGACGTTTTCTAAAATTTGTATGGGTATCGGAGACACTGATAGCATCAATTTACACCATTCCAATTTGTAGTTCCTGCAATTCCATAAAACTAAGTGATTGATGACGTCACTAATCGCAAAATATGCTTTATTTATCACGTAAGGCCTTTGGTGATTAGTGACGTCATCAAACACTTAGTTTTAGTGGAATGAAAGGAACTACGTTGGATTCCACCAATTGAATTGGTGCTATCACAGTCCTAGATACACATACAAAATTTAGAAAAGCTCTTTACAATCCCTTTACAGGTCCAGCCATATAAGGAAGACAGAGCTTATATACACTTTATCAAATATCAGATTCTCCCACCATTACCTGTTGCTCTTGATGATAAAAGTATTATGAAGGTCCTTAATTAAAATGTAGATATCAACTTATGTCTATACTTCTTATCAGACATTAAAATTGTGCAGTGTTTTTAAAATTGGCACAGTATAATCTGATGGTAAAAAAAAATAAATAATGAAACACATGGTGTTCATTACTTTACATCATTATGTTGATTAAGACCCCCTATAGCTTCTCTCATTAATATCGCATTGAATCTTCATTTCATCGTAGTATACTACAAATATATTAAAAACTTGTGCCAAAGTATGATAAGATGAATTATTTGGTACGCAGACAACTACAATTTATGCCTGATCATCATTTTTTTTTTAGTGAAATGCATAAGTATTCAACGGATTAAGTATTCAATATGCCATAGGGGCAATAGTCTTAGACGTGGCGCTTTTGTGCACAGTATGATTTCAATAAGCAAATGAAGATTTTCTGCTTTTCGCGGTTTCCTCGTTTTTGCAATCCTTTATCTGAAGAAATTTTTCGTTAAATCGTGTTCACACGAACTTTGACCCAACTGCGTCATAACTTAAGTTCACCAAAAACACGTACTCAAAATTTTGTTCATTAAAAAAAAAAAAAAAATTCTTCAAATTATTGAAATTTTTGAAAAAAATCCAATTTATGGGTATCCATGTTTGGAAGTTAATTTTCAAAACGGTTCAAATCCCTAATGACCTCTGTCAAGTTTATTTTAGTTGTTTCATAAATTTGTTCGAATTCTGAGGTCGATGCCCGGATTTTCTCTAATTCTCCATATTTGAGTCATGTCTGTCTAAGTCTGTCTGTGAAATTTCTGCGATAACATTTATGTGTGTTCAATTAGTACTGTTATACACCAAGGTGAAAGCCCTGGCAGATATTGGCACTATACTGTACTATATCATGAGAGATGCAAGATGGTAGTATCTGTTCTTCTCATCAATAAGCTGCTATTGAACTATTTGTTTTAAAGGGAAGGCTGTCTCAATATTTATGGTTTATCCGCCCACGGTAAAATGCTATCGCTATAGATCTACTGTAACAGAATTTCTTACTTATTTTATAATGTGTTTGTTAAAGGGCGTTGTAAATCAAGCGGGTGCATAGCTAACAGCTACCGTAAACAACCAGTCTGAGTCTATACAGATCAATCGATGCGTAATGACGTCAAGATAAGGTCAATTCTGATTCCCGTACAAACTTAGTTTTGAAACGATATTACGCTCAGGTTATCAACCTTTATCAGACCCTTAACAATCGTTCAATCTTTCACCTTTAATTATTTACACAAACGTTGCAGCCTGCTGATTGCCCTGTTACGTACTGGTATCTCGGTATTTTGTTACACCGATGACGTTATACATGATGCATCAGACGTTAAATTTTAGATTACCTAAGGCATGACGTTGCCTGTGTTCATAACCTCAGCAGATAAGCTGAGCGTGGAACTTTATGTCATATTTGAAAGTTGCCAGTTCGATTTCCGCTTGCCCTCAAAAGATCTCAAAATTTCTCAAACCATACAATAAAATATTATAGTTCATTTAAAACATTTACTTGCAGGTATTCGATTGACAATGTTGTTATAAACGCATGTTTAAAAATCAAAAAAGGATTCTTGAAAATTGACAGAGACCTATCCCATATTCCAGTCTTGAGAAAGGTAGTCTTGTGCATATTTCAGATCAAAATCAAATGATGCCCATGATTATTACTCCTTCTTTTGAAGGCATATTATTTCTTATTTCATAGCCTATGATTCAAAAACATGAACTAAAAAAGCAGCATCATTTTCAGGTACAAATTTATTGATTATAGATTTACTTACAAAAAGCAGATTTAAAATCAATTGAATTTAATCCTTATAACGAAAATGTTACTTTTAAAGGTTATTTTCAGTTATACTTTTTACGAATTAAAATTATCTTACCTTGCACGGCCGCTCTGTTAACTATAAATTCAACACTAACCAAAGTACCACCATCTAATTTCGTTGAAGGATAACCGCGCAATGGTAGCATGGTGCTTTACTTGATTGGCTACCGGTAAAACACCCACAGAATTCAACCAGTCAAAATTCTACAGTGCACATATCCTCTATATAAGGCAAAAGTGAAACTATAGACGCTGGGTAACCTTCATTCACGGGCAAAATCCACGACTGTGAAAAATGCAATTAATACGGTAGCTTACTCTATTTGATAGTACCTAAAGCTCATTACATGCAGTGATGGTATAGTCGTTAAGTTAGGAACCTTCTGTTCTCACATCTGAATTTTCGTTGATGTGATTGTATTTTGTGTAGATATCTGTTTCTGACAGAAGACAAACAATGATAAGGGGTTTTGCAGGGACCTTCTTTGACTTCCCGTATTTTTTAATAAAAATTTGTATAAGTAAGACAATTCCGTTAATCAAAATCTAGTATGGCAAAATCGAGTATAAAAGTTGTATAGTAGCGGACTCCTCAAAAGAGAAGTACCATCAGGTATTTCGAAAAGAGTTAGTGAACGTGTTATTTAACTCGATTTAAAATCTTGATTTTTAAATTTAGAGTAAACATTTATTTTACCCCTCCATTCGTAAGGTTATTTCGATTAGTTGTCCCTTATCTGGAATTGATTAAATTCGATAATCATTAAATGATTAATCAAACTTTCTTTAGGTTTTCTGCAAGAATGAATAATTCGGTAAATTTAACCAGTGTTTTTGGCAGATGGTATTTCTTATGTGGTGAAGGGATTAAAATGAGGCGTGTTTGTACTTAAGCAATAATCCTGATGATTCACTGTCTGGTGGAAAACATCGAAATAATTTTCCCTGGAGTGTAACTATGCTAATGAAAGATTTTAATTGAAAACATAAAACTCAAGGTATACCTCTACCATGCTCACCCCGTAATGACCATTCTGGTATTCTTCACCACCCGGACGTGACCTTCGTCCTTTATTACGGTACTGCAAAGAGGATTATATTATTTTATAGGTATGTTACAGTTCTGATCAAATTTGTGCGTTCAAGGATCTGTTCTGTGAAAATATATCCTGTCACTGGTCAAGATATGAATAAACGCTTCAAAAATTATCCCGAAATCTAGATATGGGAAAATCTAGCCCCCTCTTTCCTTAGAATATCATTTGGGAGAATCCATCCTTTCCTTTTTTAAGTTACTTATGGTTTGGGACAAATTAGCTTAAATCAAATTAGTGTGAGGCAAATAAGCTCCATACGTTTTTAAGACACGTTAGCTCAGGCCAAATTTGTTTCTCGGTTTAGGAAAAGTTTGGTAGAACAAATATTCTACTCTTACTCCCTCTTACTCCTAACATGATACTTTTTGTGTTTTTGCCTTAATTCATTACTATAGATGTTTATTATGCAACATCATTAGGCAATGTCAAAAACAATTATCATTATTATCCACATCATAACTATATTCTTTTCACCTTCAAAACTTAACCTTGATCGCATTATCGTCACAAAAAAAAAAACTGGATCGGGTGTTATCTTTGCTATATTATGTTTTCTGTATTTGGCTATGT